TAAAATTAACTAAAAATAACAGCACAAAACAAATGATATTTGAAAACAAGAATTACCTTGTAGATGATGCCATCTGAGTTCCATTCTGACTTGGACTTAATGACTGTAAAATAAATGATAAGATTATTAAAAACGCATTTTAACATGGGCATGCTGAACAAAATATTAAGGTTGACACTTCTTTTTTCCCTACATAACTCCAGAGAAGGAAGAAAGATTCAAGATCAGCAGCATACCTCTAGAACACAAATTTGAGCAACATTATCCCGCATTCCATGTTTATTATACTCAATGCACTCTTCATACATCAACCTGAACCTAAACCCATGAATTTCAAACAAATGTCACGAGATATCCCACTCAAAAGACACATTTCTCTTGGCCAGAAACGCACGGCATCAACAAGAACAAAAAAAACTGCCGCAAAATGAGAGCTAAATGAAAGTGGCATCATCACTTACAAGTTAAAGCATTAGGCTTTTAAAGACTCCTTACCTTGTAGTTCGCCAAAAGATAGCACACCCATCAAGTGGATCACCAGTTCGCATCTGGTATATTTGGCAAATAATTAGGCCTCGTCAGCATTTTCAACATATATCTGCATCAAACTTCAACCATTCCATGGAATTATACAAACAACAGTATTCAAGCCCCAGGGATCTACTTAAGTATAAAGAATTAAAGAATAGCATGAGCCTTTGGAAACTAAGAATTAACACCAGCTCAAATCCATACACAAGTACGTAATATATGTAGCTTAAAGTCTTAAACTTCTCCATGAACAGCAGCATAGGGACATTAATTGAAAGCAACATATTAGTTTCAGGAGCTTAGAAACTTGAAAAAAAGGACTAAATAGTTATCCTCCTTACCTCTTCCAGTGCTTTAACACCATAAAAAGTAGCACAAAATTAAAAGGCAACATGCAGCAGAAGTTAATACTCACCATCATTTTCCTAGAAAAGAAAACACCTATGGAGTTATGAATTATGATGTCAACGTGCGTTATAGAAGCGCAGAGGAAAGGACAACAAATTCCCTCTCTTAATTATTAGCCTATTCAAACAAATGAATTTTTTTTCCCAACCTTTCAAGTGAAGGATAAAACTGTGTATTGAAACAACAAGGTTTTTATTAACAGAAAATATCTCTCTTCTTTTAATGATGATAAACTCAAAGAGAAAGCAAAAACAGCAATCAATAATCCATAAATCAATAACGATAGTGTGCTTATGTTAACCACAACCTTCCAAATTCCGCTGTATCCACGACGCCCCAAGTCCTCCTCCAAGTCATGAAATTTGTCAACTTCCTGAAATTGGATCATAGGCTTCTCAATCTCAAAGTTGAAAGCAATATGAATCAAATAACAGTTATTAGGACTGCTGTATGGTGGCAGCTGGGAACAACAAAGTATCACATGCCTACCATGTTAAAAAATAATAATTAGTATTACAGAGTAAAAACTAGCTATTGCATAAGGAAGCAAATTGACCAATAAGCCAAGACACACGAAAAATAATAATATAAGACAGAATGAGACAAAGGGTGGACAATAAACAGCAGCAGAAAACAAAGATAGTACAAAGCAGTAGTAAAAAGAACAATGACAAACAGGGAGAAAAGTTTAAGCAGCTCAAATACAAACATGCGAATCAATTAAAAAAGGAAGCTCCTGTTGATCATAAAACACAATAGGTATAGCTGAGTAAAGACAGAAGGGAAGGGACCTGAAAGCACATAATGTCAGGTGACCACAATTGAAGCTCAAAAAGTATCTTGCCCTTCCGCCACTCCCAATTCATAAAATAGCGTCGGATGTGAAAGTACAGCTTCCGATGGCTATTAGCAAGGTAATCAGCAAGTATATTATACGAGAGAACAACAAACCGTTCTGCAAAAATACATAAATTTAGGTCGGCTGTACTAACATTGATTCAAAACCATGCTGATGTTTCTAAGCCTTTTACAAGAAGCCCAAAGAACATAATGGCAATAAATACAAACTCTAATTAATGTGTGAATATGCTAAAATGGAAAAGAAGGCTGTCAATAACAACCTTCAAGATCGAACTTCCAAAGAATGTTTTGTAAACATATCAAAGGTAACCAAAGATCAGTATACGCAAAAAGTAGCAAGAAACAAGAAATGTGCAACCACTCTACTCATTTACGCTCTTCAAACATTTCTAATCAATTATGCTCTACTCCAGCCACCCATTTGGCATTTGTGTCGAGGTGGTCGGTAATAGTAATAAAAAAAATAATACATGTCATTAAGGACAATAACTATAAGTCAAACATCTATAATCACATACCCATAAGCAAACATGCTTTTATTCACTAATCCTAAATACATTTTTGGCAACAGGCAACAGAAAAAGCCTGAGATCAGAGTCCAGTCAGTCAACTTCTTTAGCACATGGTACTGATGTTTTAGATAAGGCTCCAAGATTCCAGGAATCTAGAGATCTTTATTTTCCTCCCTTTGATTTTTTTTATTTATTTTTAATCTTCCTCTCTCAATTAATATCACCACAATAATTGATGCAAAAAATTGATTATTAGTTTGCACAATTTATTAATTTGTTCCAATGTTACACATTTGAAAGTTTTTCTCATTAGTAAAAATTGGTTTATCTAACTCGGGGAACAAAGCAATACTACAATATTCTTATTCTAGGCAAAGTTTACAACTTCAAGCGCAATTCCCTTGTTCTTTCCCTCAACCGACACAAGGTGCCCTCTATACACCAAGTGTAACATGCAGATGCTACCCCCCACACTCAATCACTCACTACTTTGTTAATTGGGAATTTGGGAGAATGTAAGCAATCCAAACAAGTGAATGTGAAAAAAAATAACCTTGGTTGTATAATACGCCGACATGTATAATCAAATTTAACCTTGGTTGTATAATAGGCCATGTATAATCAAAATTGCTACCCTCTTCTAATTATTTTTTCTTGGTTACGATTCTAATAATCATTAATAGTAATCTTTAAATTCAAACTCAAACAAAGCATTACCATTATTTTTTTAAAAGAACTTAGCTTTGCAAACTTTTTTTTACAAAATTCATATATTCCCGCCATTCAATTCATCACAACTACCCTAATTTAATGAACTACTAGTAACAGTAAAAATACTAGTATATGAATAAGAGTGAAATTACCGGAATTAGGAGGGGGAGGAACCTTTGCCAACTCCCAAACCCGATGATCATCCGGCTTCCGCCGCTGAACCCTAACTCCTGATTGTTGCCGATTAAACGACGGCGCTCTACCTCTAAAATTACTACTACCACCACGATTATTCGACGAAGAATTATAATCATAATAACAATTATTATAGTTATTGCGATTGTAATTGTAATTGAAGCTATTAATTGGGCGAAAATCAGCACTTCGCTGGAAAGACGAGTTCGAGTCACGAACAGATTGAACATTAGCGTCGCCGGAGACGGAGGTCGGGTGGTCGGAGAAGTACCGGCGACCTCGACCTCGACTTCGGCCTCCTCTGAACTGCAATGGAGGAGAGAGAAAGTGAGATGGTGAAGAAGATGAGAGAGAAAGAGAGAGGAGAGAGAAAGTTGTACCGGAGGTCGGATGTTGGCTGACATGGCGGCGGAGGTGGAGGTGAGAGGGGTGTCGACGATGGCGGTGGCGATACGGTGTAGAGAGAATGAAGAGGATTGTCGCATTTTATATCGTTGGTAAACTATGTGATTTTTAATTGTTCATTCATGCAATTATATTGTATAGTTTCAACTTTCAAATTATTAAAACTTTTCATTTTAGGATTTTACCTTGACTAATCTTGGATTTAACATCTAATTTGAGAATACTTTTTTCATTATATGGAGAACAAAATTTATAGACGGTAGAGTATTTTTTTAATATGCGGATTTATGATTAGATTATACACTCGAGAGCATGATGCGCATCATACTCTTCACAGAATTGCGCTATTTAGAGTGAACATTTATTGAAGGACGAGGAGTATTGATAAGAATTTTTTTATCTATAGAACATGGGACCATGGAGGTGATATTTTGTTTATAATTATGTGTTTCTTTAATTTGAATTGGATGTAATTTTGATAGTAGGATTGGACATCATGCATTGGTATATACAATCTGATTTACGTATGTTGTAAATTGGATCCACTTAATATTTATTGTTGGTATCTGATTTGCGTATGTTGTAAATTGAATCCACTTAATATTTATTGTTGGTGATTAAAACATTGAATTCTATTAGTATTTCGTATTAAATTATAAATATGATAGTATTTGCCAATACTTGCCTTGGCCATAAACATGATGAGGTCAAGTATTCATACAGTACTCTAAAGAGAGGTGAAAGTGTTAAAAGTCATAACCATATTCTAGTGTCTATATCTCCTAATGCTACTACTTCTATTGCGGTTAATGGTTAACCATGATATCTTCGACAAAATAACCTATTCATTCATAAGACAATGTTTCAACTCTCAACGTATTACTCAGTGCTTCCTACCATGTTTTGAAAACCATGTCTCCATCATGGCATCACTTTCACAAACCATGATATCACGCATTACTCAGTGCTTTGTACTCCATGCATCGACTATCTTTATAAAAGAAATGTATTCTATGTCTCAAACAATCGAACAACCCTAGATAAAATATATGCAAGTATTACACTGCTCAATTTTCTAATCTTTTAACCATCATCGCCTCATCGGATGCATCAACAACTACTTAAAAAGTAGCATGTAAAAAGGCCTGTTGCACAACTTTCTACTTCATTTTAAGACTAAATGGAACAGGAGCTTGATTTCAAAGCTCAAAAACAGAACAAAAGCTGAAGAGCTTAATTTTGAAGCTCGGGAAGACTTTCAAGGCAAGCCTCTAATAACGGCTTAGTATTGAATTTAAAGAATCCACTTATTTGGTTCCATATTTATCCTTAATTAAGCACTTGATTAAATATATTTACATACAAGAGGATGGATATGATAATAGCAAATACTCGAAGAGGAAGCCAGGCCACACTATTGCTTTATTCACAAGGGTAACAATTTACAAGTATAATTTAGCAGAACAAGTAAAACAGTTTGGACGTTTTTATGTACAAAATTACAAATTCTGAAGGTGAGACAACACTGTAATACCATGCTTTGTTAAGAGTTGACAAGGAGTAATCACATTGCAGCAATTATGTGCCACCATATGTCTCGACTCTCTCAAGAGGGTTGTTCAATAAGCCATACCACCGGAGAAGCTGTCTCCATCATGATGTAGAGTCTCAGTGAGCCAGTAACCATCCCAGGAACCACCAAGCCTCTGCTTATCAAGATAGTTTTATCAAAAATATGCAAAACAGGACTGAAAAAGAGAAAAATCAGCAATTGACATAACTGAAAGACTTTAAGATAAAGAAATAAACTTGTGTCTGACATTTTCTGTTATTATTTTCAAACAATTAGCGGGGGGACTTGCACAGCATCCAGCTGCCTATCTCAGGAGAACTGCCTAAACGGTGAGAAATTGAACCCAGATATCAAATTTAGAAATTAGGATGTGCTCCACTGAGCCACCACATTCTCCTAAATTTCATCTTTACATAATCAGTAAGAATATTAATCTATCACTTTACAGAGATCCCAATATTCCCAACCAAACTGATCCATGCAGATCATTGCAAGTCAGTTGTCCAGCCTAATAACAGGTTTAAGAATTATACACAACTTTTACAATACAGTTGCATAGTGGTTATATAACTCCTTGATTAAAACTCACCAATCTAGCTTGTCATTGTGACAATTTCCTACTGGAGTCGGGTGACACTTCCCCTCAGATGAATAGAAATATAACAAAATCAAAATTAAATATTCAGCAAAGGCACATAACATATACAAATAATCATCTTCTGTCTGAGGGCCTGAGGAGTACATGTGGAAAGCTAGCAAACAGCAATGCCCCTAGAAAGGAACTACATTTCCAATCATTGTACTACGTATGTTATTTTATTTCATTGATGTCGGAGGGTGATCAAAGGACGAATTCTTCAATTCTGACCTGTTTTGATTATGATCAAAGATAAAAAATCAAAGATTAAGTATCCCTCCATTTCATTCCCATTATATATAATTGAGGATTTCCGATCAAAGATTAAGTATCCTCCATTTCATTCCCTTTATATATAGTTGAGGATTTCCCATGTTCATATAATCATATAAGGCCTTAATTTTCGATAATTTTATGTTTATGCTCATATATAGAAATCTACGGAGTAGCAATCAGCACTGTCCCTATAATAGGAAATGCCTTTTTTTTATGTCTTTATTTAATTCATTTCTGTTACCAGCGAAAGGTCAAATTCCTCAAATATGACCTATTTTGATTATGATCAAAGAGGAAAATCAGATATTTAGTTTCCACCCCTTTATATATACAAAACGAGGGAATCCCATCTCATATAAAATAGAAATCCATACTTATGATGGTATGTTTAGCTAGATGATCCTGCCAGATTAGTGAAGGATGATGCAGAAAGCTAGAAATATGACTTAAGAGAACAGATACCACAAAAGAAAAGAGGTAGTAGTGATGAAACATCAAACCTGCACCATGGTAAATTCAAATATCTCTTCTTCAGCTGGACGAGCTCCTTGCACCCAAACTCGTTGCTTGAAGCGATTCTGTGCCACAATAAAACCAATGAAGTTTAGAAGCTATAACAACATTAAATTACAGGATCAGATTTTCAAATAGCAAATACCCCTTGCTGAATAAAGCAAAAATAACCAAGATGCAATTCTTGGTATATGATGGATTTTCCAAGATTACCTCCTTAACCAATAAGCTGCTCAATATTTTCCTTTCCTTGTGGCCAAGCAACACTCGGTAGCTGGAATGGTGAAAAATTCGCCTGAAGCGTTCAAACTGCAGGAGACACAGAAAACTCAAGCATGTTATTCTGCAGACGTGCATCATTAAAAATATAATGAAGCTAAGCTTGGATGACAAGTTGTTCAGGGAATTTACAGACCTGCCCTAAATCAAAGTGTGGTCCGAAATAAGTAGATCTTTCAAAAGGATCAAATCCAGCAAACTGTAGATAGCAAAGAGAAATTAATGTCACAAAATAAGAAGGATAACACACTGAAAAGGTGAAGCCCATCAGTACGGAAATTTTACCCTATACATAACCTCAATCCCATAATCTTGACGAGGTTGATCATTGTACTTCAGGGCATCTAGCTGCTGACTAACAGCTTCCTCTGCACTAAACTATATGGAATATTAAAATAGATTTTATAACGAATTAGAGAAAGATAACAAACTCTGCAGAATTTTGTTACATGTAGAGTTGGACCGAAAGGCTTCTTCTTGCGAGCTTCAAGCCTACACAAACATGATTTCAGTGAAGTTAATAAGCAGCTTCAGGCTGATACAAATTATTAAAAAAAAAAAAAAATAGAAAAAAAAAAAGGTAATATTCAATCAAAATTTTCAGTAAAAAAAAAAAATAAAAAAATCCATGAGTTTCAAGACTCAAGCCGTGACCATCATCATGAACACTTTCCAAGTTTCCAAAATATAAGTCCTTATTTAACCGATGCAAGTGTAAGAATGACTGGACCAAAAACAAGTTGCAAGTCACCAATGCAAAATGGATTTTTTGACATTAGCAAGGAATGATACATTTACCAAAATACAAAAGGGGTTTGCTTTCTATTCTTCATTGTACCCTGAAAATCGTTGAGAGTTACAAACAACTTGTGATTGTGGAGCTTTAATTCACTCTGGATACATGACCTGAAATCAAGTTGGTGACCTTTTTGGCTCTAAAACAACCATTGGATTCACTCATATAAGCTAATGAAGTGGCCTAAGAAGATAAACACTCTTTGGAAGGTCAAGTAATTGTTAAGGCATAAGGGTAGTACAAAACTCGGAGGGGTCGGGCAAAGCTACTTTTTTGCGAATTTGATATATTCTTTCGAAGATTTTGGAGGTCTCGGTTCAAGACTGATAGGGCGCCTTTACCAAGAGGGGTCAAGCAATGGCTTGGCTAGAAATTCTCAGATTTTCTTGTATACAATGAATTGATCTTGACCATTTAGTTGTTATCTAAGGCCATTAGTAGAAGTTATCAAGGTTTTTTAACTTATGCACTATTGCTTCATTATATAAGGAGCTCTTTTAGATTATATTATGGAACTTTTGACGGATTATGAATATATGAGATTTTCTATCCATTTGCATCTTTGTGAGCACTCTTTATGGAAAACCTTAATCTTTGTTATTAATCAATCTTTAGTCAAACTATGTGTGAGATGAGTGATTTAAACATTATATTCTTCAAACTTTGTGACTAATGAAAAAAGATTAACCTTGTGTTGCTTGTTTATTTCCTTGCTCTTTCACAAAACACAAAATTCCAAAAATAGCTTTTTCAAAATTGAGAGATTTATGATGTATTGAATGTTTGGGGTGACGATTACATATCAGTCTATGCTTAATTTATAAAGTGGTTTGTAATACAAGGTCTAGGGAGAGGTGGGTTCAGAGATCACTAAAGAAGTATAGAGAATTATTGCTCAAAAGAATTATACGGAGTAGCACATAAGTTAGGGGTTTTCCTTTAAGGGTGCATACATTTGAATCGCCCCTTACCCAACTTAGAGTGGGGAGCCTCTTTAGAGACTCTAGGGTAATGTTATACCTATTAGGGCCTATTAGCATGAAAATGAAAACCCTATTGTAGACCCTACGATGACACTATATTTTTTTTCATTTGCAAGTATACCTAATGATCTATAGCCTATTAGACTTCGACTAATATGGATTCAAGCTACGTCCCCAGGTCTCCAACTTAACCTTGGTTAAGCTAGAACAACTCCTTACTATTTGATTCAAACAATTGTTGTTAGTCCATGGTAGACACTAGGAAGGTCCAAATATGTCATTTTGTTCGGTTAACACAATGATGGACACATAACGAGCCACAATAAGCACTAACGTACATGGGTTACCAACTGAACTAGCTTACACGTCCAAAAGAGTACACCTTTGATTAATTATAAAGCAGTCAAAATACCATACTTACTCAAAATTAAATCAAATTGGAGAATCAGCTAAACAACTTAAAACTCAACTTTTCCATTTATTAGAATCCTTTTTTGGACCAAAATTACCTTAATATAAGCTTTCTCGATTAAGGCACTTATGTAGACGAAATTCATACATAACTATGTTTTGGGTACCACCCTAAAGACGTTATCAATTAAGCTAGCGAGTATCCACACAAATCAAATCATTAATCACTAGCTAACAGTTGTAACAATAACAAATTACATAAAGTAAATATTAAATAAATGAATTAAGATTAAAATTACCAATCAGCAGAGAGAAAATCAGGGATATCAGCAGAAGCTCTGAAACGGGGAGAAGCCCGCCTATGTTGCAGTTGTCCATTAAAGGATTTGGAAAAGAGTGTCAGAGATTGAGGACTTGCTAAAGATGAACTGAACGACATCGTTTTTCTTCTTCTTCTTCACTGAATTTGATTATCTTTTTCTGGGTTGTCTGGGTTCAAGATTATGGGAAAAAAAGTTGATCAAATTATGTGAAAATTGTTGAATGGTTTGTAATGTTCGTACTAGTATTTGTAATACTGGGTTTTTGGTCCAATCTTTTTGGGATGCTTTTGATGTTAAGACTGTTGGATCAAGATGATTGGATCAGCATCCGACGTGGCAATAGTTAGAGTGTTGTTTTAGATACGTGAACAGAATAAGTATTGATTCACAGTCTAAGTATAGAGTATATAACGTATAGGCAATGTTTTTCCTAAGCCTAGTAATATATAACTTGTGTAAGGCTAGTACTAGAAGTGTGCTTTCACTGTAAGTACTCGGTGAATTGCAAACTTACCATTCTTCATTCATATGTATTTGCAACTATATTACAAATAGCGAAATCTACTTTTTTTTTTTTTTTTTTTTTTTTTTAAGAAATAGTGAAAACCATCTTTACTCTCTCTTTATATTTATTTCACAACACGCCCTATAAAAGATGTACTAAAGGTTTAAAATTTTGTTTGACCAAGGCCCCCAAGAGTCGAGACTTCCTGATGTTCATCTATTAGTAGCGGTGTCAATTCGGGTAAACAGTTCGGGTTTGGATTGGGTTTATCAGTTTCGGTTTATAATGGGTTGAAATGATTAGCGGGTCGGTTTGGGTCGGTTTTGAACATCGGGTCAGTTCGGTTTGGTTTTTTTTTATTGTGGTTTCTATTCGGGTCGGGTTGTAGTTGGTTCGGGTCATAACCAGTTGGGTGGAACCGTGTCGGTTTGAAAACGGGTTTAGCCAGTTAAAAGTGGGTTTCGGTTCAAAACAGTTCGGGTTCTAATCAGGTCGGGTTATAATCAGTTCGGGTTAAACCGGGTCAGTTTGAAAACGGGTTTCGGTTCAAAACAGATCGGGTGAAATCGGGGGTCTGGTCATTATCGGTTTAGGTTATAATCGATTTGGATTGAACTTGGTTGGTTTGAAAACGGGTTTACCCAATTTGAAGCAGGTTTCAGTCCAAATCATATTGGGTTAAAATCGAGTCGACTCGATAATGGGTAGGAACGGGTCATGTTATAACCAAGTTAAGTCATAAATAAGTTGGATTTATCGAGTAGTGGGTTGAAACGGATTAAATCATAAACATATTGGGTTACGAGTTGTAAACAACTCGGTCATAACGGGCTACCGGTCGTAAACGGTTCGGTATCAACGAGTTACGGGTCGTAAACAATTCGGTCTCAACGGGTTGCAGGTTGGAACGGTTCGTTCATAACGGTTTATGGGTTATAAAAGGTTCGGTCACAACGGGTTACGGGTTGGACCGGTTCAGGTTTATCAGATTTTTGCCGGGTTTAAACGGTTTCTGGTTGAAAATGGGTCGGGTTACTATCAGGTTCAAATGTAATCGGTTCGGGTTGTTTTCAGTTTCGGGTTGTAACGGTTTGGCTTGATAATGGGTCAGGTTAGTAACGGTTCGCACAAATTCGGTTCAGTTTAGTTTTGGGTTAGAAAAAATTGGGTCGGATCGATTTTTGATTTCCAAAAAACGGGTTTTTAACGGTTCAGTTCCTTTTTGGATTGGTTCGAAACAGTTGGATTTAATGATTCGGGTCAGAAACTGACAGCTCTTTCTATTAGTTGTTGGACTTTGAAAGTCCAAAGACTTATTATCTTGACAAGTAAAAAGCATGCTGAAGACCCAAGACTAAGTCATGATATAGAAGTTGTTGATCCATGACTAAGTCATAGTAATACAGAAGTTTCTTCCTCAGCTTCACCTATCAATTAAATCTACTTTAAGGTCTTCAACTTCACCAAATAAAATTAAGAAATTCAATATATTACCTCTCAATTTAACTCCTAAAACTTGCTTGATCTACTCAAAAATACAAAGAAATGGCAAACTCTAATGTCACACATAGGCAAGTCTCAACCTCAGACTCAGCACCCACCAAAACAGATGATCATGAACCAAAAAGCCCACCCTCAAAGCCAGAATTCAACATTAACATCAACATCTCTTTCTCGTCTGCCTTCAACATACCCTCGACTCCGGAAGCAGCTGCTGCTAGAATTCTAAGAAACTTGGGCTCTTTCCTACCATTCTATGTTATTTTCATAGGGGTTGTCCTGTTAATCACCCTTATTCCACAGCGAAAATTCTCATTGTTTCTATCGCTTGTAAACACAAATTTCACTGTCCTGTACTTGTTACTGTTGCGCGCGTTTCCTAGCTCAGTGATACTCCATCGATGGATCGATAAGCGACTTATATTTGTTGCACTTGCAGTAGCCACCATGGTTGAGATGATCGTCAGTGATGCTGGCCTGCATCTTTTTTTTACGCTTGTTGGTACCATCCCTGTCATACTTATTCATGCTGTTTTGCAAGCTACTGAAGGGTATTCTGTCATTGAGGATCATGTAACAGGAGCTAATGATTATATTGCTGAGACTCTGTGAGTATAATCTTGTTGGCTTGGGTGAATAAATAGCTGAATAAAGCTGATATATTTGACACATTAGTAATGTTAACTACCAATCCCTTTTTTTTGTGTATTAAGTTGTATGACTATGTAATTGTATTGATACAATGAATAAATATTAATGTTCATACCAATTCAAGGGTTCCATCATTTTCATCATCATCGAATCATCGTTAACAACAATGAACCATACAATATCCGGGTAAGTAAAACATAGAAATTACAACCCTGTATTGACATCAGAATTACATGCCAATAAAAACCATGAACTGTAAGAGCTATAGGAGCAAGCTGAAATCCGACGAGAATGGAAAATCGTTTTGAATGTTTAAACTACTCAAGGACTTTTCCTCAGAGATTCTAGGGTAAGCAAGCTTTCTAGGAAGGCTCCCTCGGTCTAAGCTCGAGAGACATACCCATGGAATAAACACACACAAGCACTACAACCTTAAACAGAATGAAAAGCAGAGGTAGTTGCCTTCCTGCAATCCTTGTGTCAAATAGTCAGTTCTGTTACGTAGTACTAATGTACTATATGTTGTTTTCAGAGTCTTACAAAAGTAACTAACTTGAGCAAACTAACTAGATGGGCAAAGTATACTTTAACTTCTCAAACTAGCTACGTAGAAAAATTAACAAAGTAATAAACAGGACCAGCATCATCCCATTTTCCAACACAGGGAAGTTGATATTTGCCACAGCATGGTAGTTTTGGTTTGTATTAGAATGGACAATAGACTGTAGAAAAGGTCCTACAATTGTAAAATCACAAAATCTCAAGATTTTGCATACAAGAATGGTATCACCCCCTCATAGTCCCATATATGATAACTAATACGGAGTACAAACTAAGTTTGAGGCTAAACAATCTTCTGAACTTCAAAACCCAGTTTCAGCTACAAACACAAGAAAAGCGGTCATTTCTTCTGTTGAGGAGGAGAAAGGTACTTGGTGACAACGTAGCAGTCTGCTGGAGTGATATTTGTGTAATAGTTGTGGATGGTATCTGTGATATCAAACCCGAATTTCTTGTAGAAATTGAGAGCATCCTCGTTATTGGTTTGAACATGCATATAAATCTCAGATATGTTTTGCTTGGAGGAGAGTTCAAGTACATGGTTCAAAAGCTTCGTACCTGTGCAAAACCACAGAGAACCCATTAGACAAAGAATTCCACAGAGCAGCACTAAACTAAAGAGTGGTAATTTTTATAGGCTCAAGATCAGACGTATAATCTTTACGGAAAACTTGGAGCAAACAAGGTGCTCCAATATTAAGGGAGTACAGAAGTCAAGGGTTAAGAGTTCAGACTTCAGACATACTATCAGATGGAAAAAACCGAGCATCTATCACAATAGAACAAACTTAAGGGAAATTTTATTTTTGGATAAATGAGGTACGGTAAAAATTCTACCATGATGACTTCTATTATAGATAATCTCAGTTTGGGTGTAGGTTCATAATGAAGTTCATCAAGGATATCTAAAGTCCTCAACCCAAATAGAGACAGCACCATCATTTGGGTGCTGACATGGAAAATATCAAACAAAGCAAGTCACAAGTGCTGACGTGGAAAATATTTCAAACAAAGCAAGTCGTAAGTGCCGACGTGGAAAATATTTCAAACAAAGCAAGCCGCCTTTAACATGATGTTTCATTTTTAAGAATAATTAGAACTTACTTCATATTTAACTTGACAAACTAGCTGTTATGAGCAATGAATTATAAAATTTGAATCAATCCTGGGGCCATTGGACCGAAGTTACCATCTTTATTCAAACAATTATAAATTCACATTCTGAATCTAACAAAAGAGCAAAGCAGCATATATCTCACTAACAAATACAAATTATTATTATGATGGATTATAAGATCCATAATTGATTTGACAAGAAAGATAGCAGTATATACTTACCAATACCTAGCCCACGATAGGGTGCCAAAACGCCCAATGTCATAATGTAAACCCGAACAGCTCCAGCATCTTTCTTCTCAATACGACATGCAATTGCTCCGACACATATATCACTGTAGTAAGCTGCGATTGGAAAACAGATATGGATGAATATTTCATATAATAGTATTAATTAGTTGACTCAAAAAGAGAAATTATGAGGCTCCAAACAGAGCCTTTAGAAATGGATACCTACATATTTCCCCCTCTTTTTGCCCTACCCTATAAGTTTACTAATACATACAGATAGGTTCACCGTTGTTTTTACTTTTTAATCACAATCAAGTTACTTTCACTACCCAGCTAGTTTTTCTTGTGGCCATGAATCATTGTATAGTGTATACTAATTGGGATATAGCTTCACAATTTTCATAAGATTAACCATTTCATTTTATTACTAGCATTTTCGTTATTAAAGTCTTTTCATGACTAGAATTGACAAAAACAATAAATTATCCCAAGTGGGAATTAATAATCTGTTGTGACATTACTGTTCCAGCCAGCAATTGCGTCCATGGGAGCGTGGACCAGTATATTACCACTGACAGAGTAAAGAACAGAAGTGCCTCTAAAAAGAACAATCCTTTTTGTTAGAAACAGATAATGGTTCTTTTTATATCTGCATCAACAAACACTGTGCCATAATAAATCTACAGCAATAACTAAATCTTTTTCCAAATTCTTTTATGCAGGAAAGGCTACTTTTTATATCAATAGGTTAAAAAACATGAAAAGAAGTGACACATGAAAGC